AATAAGCTATGGTTATTTCAATGGCAATCTAGTATTAGTGTTGTGAAGGTACGGAATGTGCCTTGGGAATAAAGGAGCCTAGGGAACATGCAACATGCAACAAAAGATGAGAGGAGTTTTTTTCTTCCTTTAATTTCGCAAAAATAACATTTCCTCTGCCACTGATACAAGGCTACAAAGAGCAAAAACATCTTCTTTTCCAAGCTCATTGTTCCACGGGCCTAGAGATTTGAGTTTTATGTTATTAGAAAGAAGGCATGAATATTTATTTGTAGACTTTGTAGAAGGTCCAGAGATGCCACACTTCAGTGTTAGGGCTATTACAGATAATTATTCGGACTGCCCTAAACAAACCAAACAAAAAAAGTTGTAAAGTTAATTTTAGGAAATCTAAATATGTGACTGATTTTAGAGAAGTAGCTTTAGGTTTCAAAAATGCCGGTCAATATACAGGTCCTCCCAATTTCTAACAGGGCAACGTTTCTGTCTGCCTCCTCCTGTTTATTCCTCTCCCTTCCTCTGCCTCTGCCTACCTTTCCCATCTCCCTCTCTGTCTCTCTCCTACTTGGTTTTGGAAAATTTTGCTTTTGAAAGTTCCGTTCAGTGGACCTAAGTCAAGCATATCAGTCAATGTCTTGATAAATACAGGAATCTCATAGGCAAACCATTTATTACAATAAGGTTTGATTTATCCTATTTGCCTGAGTGCAGCTATTGTTTCTCACAGACTTAGAGACATGCATCACCTATTGAAACATTTGTAACTTTACCAACTTACTCGCTTTACCTTGTTTGGAAAACTTGTCGACTTAGAGGCATGCATCACCTATTGAAACACTTGTAACTTTACCAACTTAGTCGCTTTACCTTGTTTGGAAAACTTGTCTAGGAAGATTCAGTTAAAAAGCTAATTACATGTTCTCACTGACTCAGCTCTTAAGTAGAACATTTTCATCCTCATAACCATATCTATGTGACATCTAGCTGAACATCATGAATTATAGGATAAAGGATAAACAACCTATTAAGAAATTAAAGGCCCACAAAGGTGCAGTTTGATAAGGATAAAGAAGCCCCACAGGGTATGTATAATCAGATCTCTGTCCCCTGAAGAGTAATTGCTATCTTTCTTTCATGAGCGTCAAAGACCTGGAGCTTCTCAGTGCCTCAGGCAAGTAAGTTTGAAGGTCTCCTCTACGACTGAATGGAAGAGAGCGATCAGAATTTAGGTTGAGACTATTTATTCTATAGAACATTAAAAAATACGTTTTATGTTGGAGTTGATACCAACAGCTCCTGCAGTCATGGTTAAAAAATTTTACCGTGTTCCGTCTATTCAGTGTGCCACTGTCCCTTTCTTCGGGGTCATGTTGGCACAACATGCCTTGCTGCACAGAGAACTAGACTAAGTAGCTCCGCCTAATACGGTTATCCCCATTTAATTTGCGTAGTCTTCAGTCTGTAACAAATGGAAGCCTGTGTGAAAGAACAGTGACTTTTGGATAAAGATGTCTTTATAATCCCAAGAGAAATAAGTTATTCTTAAATAAGTTTTCATTTTCCGAGACTGATTAATCTCTGCAAGTATAAATAATCTGTAACAGATTGAGACAAATTATGATAAATCTATGCATTGTTACTTAAAACATATACAGCCAATATCCTGACTATGTTGCAACTAATTAAAGATGTCTTTCTTTATACTACTGGAAGGCAGTAATACTTCCAGTCCTTCGGGTTCCTCTGAGTGAAGTTCATGATTCTGTATGTGACATGTGCCTGAATCAGAACCTAAGTAAATCAGAGGAGACACACTGAAAATGAATGACTTAAGTAATGACAATAGAGTTATCCTGCACGTCTCTCTCTCTTTTTTGATGGATTATGCTGAGGTTGGCGAAAAAAACATTTGACATCACTAGAAAGATTAATAGCTAAAAAATGAGATAGCAAAAGGTGCTCATATTAATTTGTGCTGGAGGATACATTTTTTTATGCTCTCCTCGCCCCCGCCCCCCCAGTATGCAGGAGCTCTTTTGGTCCCTGAAGGTTTTTTCTTATTTCTATTAAACTACTCTTATTGATTTCTAGTTCTGGTCACACCTGTGCATCGCATCTCAGCTCGAATTAGGCTGTTACCAGTGGTACAGGCAAGTGACTCCACACTCCTTACAGATACTGTCAGAATCGAGGTCCTGAGACCTTCGTGTTAAGCCGCATTAAACAACATGCAGTTAAAGCAGTAGTTAACTGCTCAGGACGGACATATTCTGAGCTCTGCAGAGATGCACTGCTCTTTCCAGCTGACTTGTAGAGCACTGGCAGCGACAACCAGCGTTGCTTTTGGCCTGCCTGCTGTTAGACTGTCATTTGTTTAACGTATTCAGGGAGGAGAATGGCACCCAGCAGTGGGTCACCTGCATTTTCAATGTTTACCTATTTAGGTTCAAAACTTAAAAGTACCTGGAATGAAAACAGCACTGAGAGGCAGTTTCTAGGAATATATTAATATGTGTCATGCCAGAGTACACAGACATTTAGTGTCTCATTGGGACAGTGTGGTGCTGTCTTTGCATTGTCCTCTTACACCAATCCGCCAAAGACAGACCCAGTAGGTCTGGGGCTTGATGTGTGGTTTTGCTCTACTCTGGAAACTCTTTTTGTACCCATAAGGCTAATTACTTTTCCTCTTTCAGATGTTTTTATATAGCTTTGGAAACTTTGGGAATGAAAAGCACTATTGAAACATATGCTTCCACTTGACCTCATAATGAACTTAATGTATTGTGATAAAACCATTGCATTGTATTGATGTGATTTTGTATTAGTTTCCTAACTAAATTATTCTAGGGAAGTTTCTGAACAATGTGTGGTTGTTGTTCTCAGCCAGCCACAACAATGATCCAGAATTCTAATTGGAGACCATTTTAACATTCCCTATAAGCTATATGAATATTGGCTTCATTTATTAATTGTAACTGATTAGCCACAAGGCAAACATTTAATTAAACCTTAAGAGACAATAATATTGCACATAAATTATCCATTTAAGAGCACATAGGTCTTTACATTTCATTAAACATAGTTTAACGAATCCCATCTTAAACTCAATCAGTATTTGAACAGGTTTGAAGTAAAAAAAAAACCCCAGTGCATTATTTTTTTTCAGTCATTTATTTCTTGATGCATTTTGATTTGTATTTACTTCCTGCTCGTTCATGCTACTTTCCCCATTAGTGAGACCATCAGTCATGTGGCTGTGGCCATCAATCACATTCATCACTCCTACCAAGCTCTTACTTTTTGAATTATTTCAGAATATTCTCAAAGGTATATTAGCTGCTCATGAGCTTACTGAAAGCAATGATCAAAACAAATGCAATGTTAGGTTACTATATTTTGGATGGTTTTGCTTTTCGTTATTGTTTTCTCTACGTAATTACTTCCTATTCACGCAGAACTTAATATTTTTCCTACCAAAATACTGTTTGTTATGTATGTTTTTCTGAATTAAATGCATGTTTGAGTATGCATTCAGGTGTAAGCAGCAAGACAACTGTTTAACAAGATAGTATGAGTCTTAATATCCCAATTATTATAAATTATAAATACTAAAAGCTCCCACACTCACCATGAGTTTTAATAGACTGTATTCTGCTCTGGGAAGTAATTTAAGTGAAAACACCCTCCATGTATTCATGGTCATGCATAAGCTTGTTTCTACAGCATAGGTTGTCTCCTCACTGCATTTTCTGAATAATGTAAAATTAGGCAAAGACATCTGGCAAGTTGGTACGAAAAAATTACCTTATAAAAAAGAAAGTATTGCTAATATGGAAACACACACTTTCTTTCTTCAAATGATTTTACAGCCCAATCTCCCTATTAAAAGAATTTGACAAAAAAATACTATATACCATTAAATACTGTTTCACTGTTTCACTTAAGAACACAGGGAAGCATGTTGTGAGGTTTGCTTGATTTTCCTTTAGCATATTTGTATTTATGAGAAATTACACATGTGTGCAAACGTATTTATTAGACATTGCAAATATTTCTGGAAATAGGACAAAACAAGAGCACAGAAACTAAGGAGGTTCCTGTGTCACTGGCAGTCCACGTGCCTGCCTTTCTCTCTACCTGGATTCTGTCCAGGGAATACTCTTAAAGCAGGGTCCTTGCCTCTCTGTTTTCAAAGTGTCTTATTTTTATAAGCAGTGGGAAGACAGCTTCTACCTTAATTGCGGGGGGAAAGCACTCCTGAAAATCAGTCTTAGGGGCAAAGCTTTGCAAATAGCTACTGTTACTACTAAGACATTAAAACCAGACAATCTGTCTATTTGTAATAGACATTTTTGAAATAAATTGCCCAGCTCAGGTACGGAAAAGGAGGTGGTGTGAGGACTAAACCTGGTAAATCAGATGGACCCTCTCATATCCCAAGCCACTTATAAAGCACAAAGCAGTGTTCTTTGTATATGCTGCCTCTTTCTTCTTCAGGTTTAGGGACAGACTGTGACTTTTTTCCTGTCATTTTTTTTTTCCTTCTAGGAAAGAGAGTTTTATTTTAGATTTGCAAAGCAGAGGGGAAAAAAAAAGCAGGTAGAAATCAAATATCAAATAAAAGTAATCAGACAAATAACCTGAAAAGCTGAAATACAATAGATTTGCACAACTGGCTGTGAAGTTAAATGTAGGTTACTCCATTCATGTACAAAGATATTTAGATGGCAAATGGAAACTAGCTGCTGTGATGCACATCACATTCATATATAATTGAAGCACCCAGGAGTAAAATACTCAGGCACAATAGATGACAACTGATAAGAGAAGAAGTATAAAACGGGAAGTACAAAACTCTGGGGAGTACAGAGAATATCTAACATAGGCTGAAGAACCTACAATAGCTGTATTTAAATTACCAGATAATAGAAAAATAACAACTGAGCTGCTGAAGCCAGTGAAAGCCTGACACACTCCTGTGCAAACCAGGAGCAAACCCGGAGCGTTTACCCGATTCTCCTCGTTGCTACAAGTGAGTGGGACGAGGCAGAGGTGCCTCGGCCGCAGCGCGTCCCGAGCCGCGTGGCGCCGGCTCCTCCGCGGCCTCCCTGGTCCCTGGCCGAGCGGCTCCGCTCGCGCGCTGCGGGCCGCCTCGGAGGGAAGCACGCGGAACAGACTGGTGGAGCTGCCGTTTGCTGCTCTTTGCTGTCCAACGATCTTTAGGGAGGTCTCAGTGCCACTCAGGGTACTGCTGGTCCAGTCAAGCCTCAGCATTTTTTTCTGCTTGTTTGTCTAGTTAAAGGAACATCTTTTTGAGAGTAGAAATGAAGACAGCAGCTGGCAGTGGCAATTTTGGAGCATAAATTCTGGAAAGGACACATTGCTGTGGAAATAGCCAAACCTGGACGTGTGCAGTTGCAATAGGCTTTGACATAAATGCCTTTGCCTTGTGGTGGCCACATGGCCAAAACTGTAAAGACAAATTCATTTCTAAATGTGAAACAGGAGCTTGTATCAGACAGTTTCTCCTGAATTCAGCTTTTAGGGGAGTATAATATTTATAGAAAAGAAATATTCTTGGCATTGATTCTTCTGGGGACAAACTTCTGTTACTTATTTTGTTCTTTCCAGCAGAGATTCATTCGAAGCCTGTTCCTACCAGATGAATAACTTATGCATGGAAAATGCATGAAAACACCACTTAGAGATGACTTTATCACACGCAGTAGCAGGATAGGACATTGCATAGACATCTGGATAGCTCATCAGGTAAAATGTTACAAAATTCATGAAATACAGATTTCATGAAATAAGAGAAAAATCATGCATGTGTTCCTCAGATAACCACTGATTGCTTAATGGAACAATTTTGATTTAAACTTTGTAAGACTTTGCAGAGTATCGCCTTTGTTTATAAGTGAAGAAGCTCTAATCAGACCTGCCATTCAGTCCTAAAAGATTTTCAGTTAGGTAGTTTCTCACCCAAAAATCTTGTATTTATTATAAAGCTGGTACAATATCTCATTCTTATAAAGCCAGTAAGTAGCCAGTTAGAAAAAAAGGCAGTGAAGTAAGACTTCAGAAAAAAAACACTCACTTTTTGATGTTGTTTGTTATACTTCCATTAATTGATCTGAAGTTATCATAATATAGTTAAGAGAAGAGTTCTCCTTTTGTATTTTTGCACAGTAAAATAGAGGAGATATATAGCTGATAATTCTGATTATCAGCTAATGCTGGCCAGACAATGCTAATATTCCTGTGCACACACACTCAGTTTTTGGTGTGCAAATTGTATTTACCTGAACATATCAAGCATTTTTTTTGCCTTTTTTTTCTAAATTTCTGTTGCAGTGATATGACACACTATAATCAACAGCAGCAATTCTGTAATTTAGGGTAATTACTGTAGAATATTGGTATATTTTGTAAGTGTGACACTTCACATCCTATTTCACTCAGTAAAACTCACTTTTTCATGTTTACAAATTAATGCACTGAAAAGTTAACAAAAGTTAAAAATTCAAGTTCACAGTTACAATTATGCAGATACGGAAATAAATGTGAAAACTTAGGCTTTCATGCGTATAAATTTATGTATGATATTTATATAACCTGTATACAGTTGCAGTCCAGCATGAGCTGTCATATAAAAGGGTGACAAGCCTTCAGTTATTTTTGAGATGTATCTTATTGCTCCAAGGTAGGGAGAAAGAGAGAACATACACAGCTATGAGCACAGCGACCTGAAATGCGATATTCAAAACATCTGGTAGACCACCACAGAAACAGTCTCCTTCTTTGATAAACATCTGTATTACATCATGTAATTAGTGGACATCAGCCTAATTACTTTGGCTGGGTCACAAAGCACACTGGCATGTACAGCTCTATATGCTTCCACTGTTGTTTTTATTTGCTGTTACTATAGTTCTTAGGGTATTAGTTGTGTTGGAAGGGGATAAGCTACTTAATCTGGGGATAAATTTTTCAACAGCATCTCTAACTAGGATTAACTCTGACTGACCCCACTACATGGTCTTCCACCCTAAATGGTTCAAATTTGTATCTCAAGTGAAAAATACATATTGCTGTTATGAGATGGACTTAATAAGGAAATATTAAAGCAGTTAAATGCTCAGAAGAACATTCTGATTTTCTTTTTCTTATTCTTAAGTTTGAAAGAAAATTCTTATTTTCTTTTTGAGCATTAGCATGATGGGGGGTATAAAGAACTGATGGCAGGTATTATTTTGCATATCTTTTTTTCGATTCCAGTCTTGTCTTTTGTTTGAGCCATCGCCATTGCTTTATCCAGTTGCATCTTTGGAATTTGCAGCCATACAGAAAACTGGGTATCCTGCAGAGTAAATGTGACAGTCCTGGGTTACGAGGCAGGATCTCTGGTCATTCTTTTTGGAGCATTTCAGCATGTCTTTCCAGAACGATTATTCTAAGGTTAATTTTCTCAGGCTTGCAATGTTAGGCCACTAACAGCAGTTATCAGTTAGCACTAAGAGCAGCCAGCCATGACTAGTAACTTTAAACCTGCAGACAAATCAGCTCTGCTTTAATTCATACTTTTCAAAATGGTGAGAACTAAATGATGTGTAGCCAACATACCTGTCTTTCCCTCCTCCCGCAAGGCATTCTCTAATCCTCTCAGTGACATACAACTTTGCAATTTTTATGGTTTCATTTCTGTGAACTTTCATGGGATTATAGTATTTACAAAGTAGCAGATACGTCTGGAAGATTGGGGTTGATGTAATATGTAACAGCAAGAGAAAAGATCTCCAAACAGGCAACTTTTCCAAAATGTTTGCTAGAAATTTACACGCTGATTAAACATGACATGTTTTTTATTAAACATATTATTTGACAAAGACCTGTGTGTATAATATTTCAAAATGGATTCATCATTATGAGCCAAAATACCATTGCAAATTGACCAGTGTGTGTATTTTCTAATGACATAATTGGTAGTAGTAATGCAAATAATTCCAGTAATTTGGTCATGCAAACCTCTCAATTTGTTTTACTTTTTGCAATTATGTATTATTCATGTTGCATTAGTATATGGAATGTTTATCTATAATTGCAACAAGCACTTAATTAATTACACTATAACCTCTTGAATCAATAGGCCAACTGTTGCATCTTTAGTTAATATTTTAAAGTCTCCTCTTTTACCATTTTCCCTGTGTCTTTGATGTTTCCTACCCTTCTTGTTTGGATTCTCTGTGGAATAGTTTCAGAATAATCCTGCAGTTTTCTTTTATGACTGAAACTTTGCATTTTAACAGTTGTCTGGAGATAGTTTCTTCCTTGTGAAATATCAGTTTTAATAACGAGAAAAGAAAAATGCCATAAATCTGCACTAACCACATAAAGCTGAAGTCTCAGAGAGACTGATTAACATTGAGACTCTACACAGGTTTTTCAATAATTAGAGGCTGTGCTTGCATGGAGCCACGACTGCTCTGGCCTTGATGCCATTTCCCAGGGCAGACAGCAATTATTACAGCCCACAGTGCATTTCCTACATTCCATGCCTCCAGCCACTGAAGATCTTTTAGGAGTAAAGGTCTCTTAATTTTGCACACTCTTGTCATCAGCCTAGATTAGCAACTTATTTTCATTATTTTTTTCATTATTTTTCATTTTTTTTTCATTATTTTTTTCATTATTTTTTGGTGTAGAGATAATTGACAGCTGCTTTTCTGCTGCAAGATGTTTTTTCCACCTGAGGTTGAAAAGATCATGATCATCACTTTGATTATATTAACACGGTAGATGACACATTTGGCCTTTCCAGCAGGGCAGCTAGAACCAAACCATTTCCTCCATCTGGGAGCTCAAATGAGTAACCCACACTCAGCACTCATAAGCTTGGTGCTGGAACAAGTTTATATTCATTTATTGTTCACAGATTTCTACCACTTCCATGCTTCAAAAATGAATTATTCATAGAGGTGAAGCCTCTTTTTTCTATGATACACTATCTTTACCTTGTCTATATATACTCTGTGGGCATTTCAACTAGAGTTTCAACGTATCATAGCAGCATAGACTATAACACAGTGACTCACCTAATATTAAACCACCAAAATAGTTTTCTTGAGGCTAGTAAATTAAAAGTTAAGTGCTTAAATTTAAGTGGCTAATATTGCTCTTTAATTACACAGGTGAAAACCTGCTGGAATTGTTAGTAGGGAGAAAATATCCAAAATACTTTTTGTAACAACACATTGGATTGTGTTGTGTAAAATATGGGATGCATATATAAGATACAGTAGCTTTGGACAGTGTATCTGTACGGGTATGGGGTTTCACTCCTAGTCACGTTGTACACCTCGTAATTCTCATCTTCACCTAATGTCTGTTCATGCTAAGCTTTCTGCAGTGTTACAGTTAAATGCAGTAAAATAATTTTTAAACAAGTAGGGACAGAAAAGTCACAAAATCTGCCTCTCAGCCATGAAGACTGGTATAAGTTCAGCGATGTCTCAAGCTGTCACAGGCCAGAAGAGGCAGAAGGTAGGAATTCATGTGGTTGTTTTTATCCCCAGCTGAGCTGCAAACTACGTCACGTGGAGTCACGCACGTATGTCAAATACAGCTCTTGCTTTCTCTCCTCGAGCACACCGGTGAAACTCGGAACGGGAGCCCTGCTTCCCGCTCTGTGCACGCGAGGCCCCAGCTCCAGCAAACGCCCGGATGTTTTAGGTGTGGACGCAAGGAGCGCCGTGAGGCTTGGACACGGTGCCACGAGGCCTGTGTGCGTTTACCTGAGGTGGGTTAAGAGCTACCACAGACACGTAGCCGTGGGGCCTGGGGCGAACGGGGGGCAGTGCAGGCTGCGGGAGGAACTGGGTAATGAGGAATCATCTGCAGAAAGAAGAGAGGAAGGAACATTACGGAATTAGAGACAGAAGTCCTTTAGAAAAAGAAGTGTATGGAAACTGATGACTTTTAAAGATTCAAACAGGAGAAGAGAAAGAAAAAAACCTTGGCAGAAAAAGTGAACATAGAGGGAACTATAACTGAGTATGCAGTGGACTGAGATCAGTGCTGCTACGTACAGCACATGGAGTTTTGAACTAACTTTTCATTCTTAGCTATTTTTGCAAGGACAGGTTTGAGTTATGAGATGGGAATCCTGTGCTGAAGTACACCTCGTTATTCCTGCAACATGTTATTCTTGCACACGTTAAAGAGGTTTTCAGTCCAGCACCATTTACAGAGAAACATTTTTTTCTGACATTCTTCTT